ACACACACACACACACACACACACACTCGAGCTGAGCAGCTTTTATTTGGAGGAAGAATCTAAATAAACTGCCGCTCCAAACATGGAGCCGGTCCAGTTCCCTTAATGGAAGATTGTTTGCGCTGTTTAAAAGAAGAACAGATGCATCGTTCAAATATTTAATCTCATCCCGAGCAGACACGTGTTCGTTAATGGAAACAACTGCAAAAACAAAAAGAACCAAATCAACAGGAAACGTACGTTTCCTCCATTTTATCACCTCCGGCGGTGACGTCATGTTCCTCGTTCCTCAGCAGAATTAAACCACGGAACAGATTCTGTGACGGACGAGACTCAGGAAGAAGAGAATCTCGAGGAACACTTCCTGTTTTCTTGCTCGTGGTGGGAACTGTTGTTTCTTTGTTATCGATCAGTGTGATGTGATGATTGACATCTGCTGTCTCTCCTCAGGACCAATGAGCAGCTGGTGTCCTTCCTGTCAAAGTATCGCAACATGAACTTCATCAAATCTCACGGGCGAGACAACGCACGGTGAGAGAGTGATTGTTCTCCTGTGTCTCTCTATCACACGCTCTCTCTCTTTTCTTGTTTCTTCTTGTGCGACGTTCATTGAAAATGTGATTTCTCTTTTCTTTGACTTCCCTTCTTTTAAAGTTGTGTTTGTAAAAGTCGTGTATTAAATCTCGTGCTCCTCGGCGTCTCCACCGAGCTGACGTAGAATCAGACTCGACTGTGTGAACGAAGTCGTGTTGATGAAAACGTTTGATTTGTGTCCGAACTCTTCAACACTGAAAACCCTTTGTCATCTCAGTTTCATCCGGAAACAGGGTCTGGACCGACTCTTCTACGAGTGCGACACCCACATGTGGCGTCTCGGCGACCGCAAGATCCCAGAGGGCATAGCGGTGGACGGAGGCTCCGATTGGTTCCTGCTCAGTCGGCCCTTTGTGGATTACGTGGTCAACTCCAGAGACGAGCTGGTTGGAAGCATGAAGCGTTTCTACGCCTACACGCTGCTGCCGGCCGAGGTAACACACACACATGCACTGTAACCCCTCACACTCCACATATGTACAGTCAGGCCCTGATAGCGCCCCCCAGTGGGGAGCGTGAGTATCAAGGCTTTTTCAGTAGCTGTGTTCAAACTTCGTCTCTCTGTTTGTTTGTAGATTAGCTCCTGGAATTGAAATGTCTCGTTCTGTCCTCGTCTCAACCTGCAGTCATTTTTTCACACCGTGCTGGAGAACAGCGCCCTCTGTGGCACCATGGTGGATAACAACCTGAGGCTCACGAACTGGAACCGGAAGCTGGGCTGTAAGTGTCAGTACAAGCACATCGTGGACTGGTGCGGCTGCTCCCCCAACGACTTCAAGCCCTCGGACCTGCCGCGATTCCAGGTGAGCGCCGACGTAAATTTAAGAACCATTAAAAGTTGTTTCACTTTGAGCTCTGGACAGAATGTTCGTAGACAAGATGGGAAAAGTCGTCGAATGGGAGAAAAACACCGGACAACTGCATCCACAGATTCTAGATGTTTAACTGTCGCACTGGTAACGTGTAAAAAAAACTGTGTGGTAGCTAAAGAAAGTAGTAAAAATACAGAATATAATAGAATATAATTAAATAGGAATAATCAGAACTAAGACAAAATAAATATCTAGCATCAGTGACAGCTGACTGAATATTACATAAATATTGCACATGATCGCATCTGGATCGCCCCCTGGTGGCTGGCTGCAGTATAGGTCATAAACATCCTCCATGTTAGCAGATGGGACACGGACCAAACTAAAAAAGTGGACGTTAAATAAATGATCGTCAAAGATGTTTCTGTCGTTCAGGTCGTTCTTATCTCACTGATGTTCGAATGTTCCTGAAAACTTTGGTTTTAATTATTTGATTTAAGCTGAGACGTCATGATTGACAGCTGGGACTGACTCCTGATTGGTCGAGCGTGTGCATCGACAGATCACCTGTAGATTAACGCCTCAGCTCTAACAAAGGTCTTCATGCAGTGCGATACGCCGAGCGCAGCTTCAATGATCTCGTCCATCAGGTCCGTGACCCTGGACGCTCAGTCCGTCTGTAGCGTCCAGCTCCTCTTCTCAGGACCAGAATAGCTTATTTCACAAATTAGCGGTGCTGCGTCTCCCGACATCAGACGGCCTCGGCTCTGCGTTAACGACAGCGTCTGAGGTGGAGCTCCTGGTGGTTTCTATAAGCAGAGCTGATCCTGGAAGCAGCTGTACTCTCAGTATTTTTAGAGCTGTGCAGCGAGCTGCTGCCGAGGGTTGGAAGGTTGTCATTATCATAATGTCGGGTTTCGGCAGCTCGAGAGAAAACTGGAGTCCTGACTGAAGGGTCAGGAACACACATGCATGAAGAACTCGCCTGGTCAGAGGTTTGATCCAGAAGTTTGTGGTGACTTGAGAAGAAAAGAGGATCAAGTCACGACAGCTGAATAAATGAACTTTAACTTTTCATTTCCTCCCTCACATTACTACGACTGCAGCTCTAACTGTACTCATCCATGTCCCCGTCTGTCTTTGTCCACCACAGCAAGTGTCCAGACCCACGTTCTTCGCCAGGAAGTTTGAAGCCAGTGTCAGTCAGGAGATCATCAGCCAGTTGGACTCGTTCCTGTTCGGAGCGCTGTCCTCGGGCACGCCGGGCCTCCAGGCCTACTGGGAGAACATCTACGAGCGGGAGACGGACGGGCCGGCCAGCCTGTCCGACTCTGCGCTCAGCCACTATCACGCGTTCGCTCGTATGGGATTATCACGTGCTGCCAGCTCGCTGCAGGGACATCCCAGCGACAACAGCTGCAGGTACCACCGGGGTTTTTCTTAACGGCGTTTGAAAATGCAGACGTTCTCGATGTTTTGGTCCAGACGGTTCTTCACCGACATCAGTGAAATGTGTTCCAGGAGCTGGTTTTGTCTCCACAGTTTCTAGAGTTGATGCCAGGATCAGCGCACATCGTGTTTTTATTCTAATAATCAACTAAAGCAGCGCGTTGTTGTTGATGTTTGGTAACCATGGTAACACATACTCTGTGAACACACCGTCACTATCACAACACGAGGTCCAGCCTCTGCTCTGCTCTCTGTGACATCAGGAGGTTATTCCACTCATGTGGGTCCATGAAGGGACGATGACGACGTGAACAAGAAGCAGAAGTTTCTTTTTGGACCAAACTCCAGAAGTGACGGGCTTCTTACATTTCAGCCTCACACTCTGGTCCGTGTCCTCGTCTCCTGTTTAGTCGGACACGCGTCGACATGAGTCACATTTTGACCCGATCTGAGTTCCGTGACTCATTTTGGACGTTGCGACACAGAAGACGCACGTTTGAGCTTTGTCTTCACATCTCAGACGATTCACTCAAACATTTCTAAAGTTTGGGCGGCTTTGGGAAAAGTTGTGACGCTGCTGAGTAAATTCAAGACGGAACTACAGAATCTGTGTCGGAGGGAAACGAGCAGGGTTAGAATATGAAATGTGTCTTTCCACTAAACTCACCAGTTTGTGTGTGTGTGTGTGTGTTTGCTCGTCCAAATTAAATATGAAGATAACGTGAGCTTGTCCTGAGGCACAATCAAGCTTCAGTTTCCACACAGGCTGGGTTTTTCCAGCAGAGTGTGTGTGTGTGTGTGTGTGTGTGTGTGTGTGTGTGTGTGTG